TTTTCTCCTCCAGATTGTTCATCCAGCCTGTCCTATCCAGACAGGCCTGCGGAGACAACAACATGCACAAAAACAAGACAGAGAAAAACCAAGCAACAATGTACAACAAAACAGCAACAACATCAAGCCACTGACAAAGAACAAATTAAAATATACCAAGAAAGAAAAGCTTGTTAAAAAAAAAGAAAAAGAGGCAGACACAATAATAAACAGAGGAACACAACAGCTGTGAAACACCAAGGCCACCGTAGGCCTGGGAAAAGGACACTCTCTCCCACCGAGGAAGGCAATGTGATTTTTGCGCAGAACAGTGTGATGACATTCATCTCAGCTCGGAAATTATGCAAACTTTGGTCTATTGCTTCAGCTTCTACAAATTATCCTAAGAGAACACACACACAAAGATAAGTATCTAAGGACATTCACTGTAGCTTGGGAAGAATAGTGAAACAACAATAAAAAATAATGAAACACCTCAACGAATGCAAATGTCAAAAAAAAAAAAGGGACTGAGGACTGTAAATTGATACAATTCTCACTATTGAAAATCAGGGCAGAAGATAACCTGTGTACTGCTATGGAAAGACGCTTACAATATGTTACAGAAGTCACCAGATGTCAGTTTGGAACCTCCACAATACTTACTCTCTGCTTCATGGGCCTTCAGCAGAGACACCGGCATCGTGCCCAGTCTTACGTCCCAAATACTCAGCATCCCGTCCTGGCCGCCAGTAGCTACAATGTGCTGCTGGTTGGGATGTCTGTCAACACAGTGGAGGGGCACTCGGTCGCCAGTCCTTTAAAAGGAGACACAAGGACAACAGTGATGTGAAGTAGAACTTATCTTTACTTTACCTTAAAAACATGCTGTAGCCTAGTTAACTAAATGTGAACTTGGTGGATGGAACTTACTGGTTGAGTCTTAACCAGCTCAAAAATGGATTAGATGAAATATATATCTTTCTTTTAAAAAAAATCATTTTATTGGGGGCTCATACAGCTCTTATCAAAATCCATACATCCATCCATTTTGTCAAGCACATTTCTTGCCATCATCATTTTCAAAATATTTTCTTTCTACTTGAGCCCTTGGTGCCTGTTCATTTTTTTTCCCTACCCCCTCCCCCATGAACCCTTGATAATTTGTAAATTTTTAATGTTTTTTCATGTCTTACAGTGACCGATGTCTCCCTTCACCCACTTTGATGAAATATATTTCTGAGTATCTAGAATGTCCTGGAATTAAAAGCCAGCAGTATTCATCTTTTTTCACTTTGGAGACCTGGGGCGGAGTCTAATCTGACGGTGATATGCAAAACAAAACACGTCGCTTTTTTTCCCCTTTCCACTTTTGAAAATATTTTATGTTTTAGACCAGCAGTTCTCAACCTGTGGGTTGCGACCCCTTTGGGGGTCAAATTACCCTTTCAGAGGGGTCACCTGTTTCCTAACAATAGCAACGAAAATAATTTTATGGTTGGGGGGGTTCACCACAACATGAGTAAGTGTATTAAAGGGTCGCAGCATGAGGAAAGTTGAGAACCAGTTTTAGATAATTCTTTACTTCTACCTTACATTACTTATATAAATATTTTCCAATTTGACAAGTTGTTTTCTTAATAGAGAAAAGCAGGGTGCACACAGAATAGAGGATTCTCCCAGTAAAAGTATCTTGGATGGTATTTTTCCCTAATCACACATAGAGGGCATTATATATACTACCTATAAGAGCCCTGCTGGTCTAGTGGTTATGCATTGGGCTGTGATTCACAGGGTGGGCAGTTCAAAACCACCAGCAGCTCTGAAAGAGAAACACTGGACTTTCTACTTCTATAAACAGTTCCAGTCTTGGAAACCCACAGGGAGGCACTATGAGTCAGCACTGACTTCAATGGCAGCAAGATACATATTACCTATAGAATCACTTGCTAGGTAGAACTAAGTTCTCAGTTAAATACCAAACATTAAAGAGATACTGGCCTGAATACAATAAATATTTACTAAGGCAGCATGGAAGTCCACCAAGTTATATTTGCTCTGTCAAATTTTATTAGGGAACACTCTTCTAGAGCGCAATTAAAATATAAAGTCATTTGCTACAAACAAGCTAATAATTTCTCATTACTCTACTGAAATTACAAATCAAAACTTACAGTGATAATATCTGAGAGGGCTCATTCCCTGGTTGTCTGAAGTCCCATATTTTTAACTGTCCAATGGAATTTACTGTTAGAATCTCAGGCGTGCGGAGGAAGGTGACAGCATGTAGCGTGCTGCTGTCTGCATTGTCTACAAATGTAAAACGTGCTGTGTGTTAACAGGTCTCTTAAATCACGTTCTTTTCATGAAATGAAATATTACAAGTGAATTTTAAAGTAAGCCATATTTGATTTCTATAGAAAACGAACAGTAACATGTTAAAACAAGCTCTCCAATGATAGAAAATATCACTCATATTGTTTATCAAAAGGAGGATTGCATTTTCACATATTTGTATTTCCTCTCAAGATGGTTACCCTGCATTTTTTAGCTAGTTGATTAAGTTTCTCTGTATCTTAAGGCATTTCTTACTATCCTTTAACACAGAACCTCCAGTGTATTGGACGGAATCCCAAGGCTGCCTACAGAGCGCACTCTGACTCTGGACCACTCTCTGCACTCATCCCAAACCTATTCATCTTTATCCTCAGCAACCTCTCGCCTGCCATGAAGCCCTTCCTCATTGTTATACTGGTCACTGAGTGTTTAGAGCTTACAGCCAGTAAGGAGGGTTAGGGAGACCTTCAATGACACTGGGAACATTCTAGCTATCAAGTTAATAAAGGGCTGGGCCTGTATGTGATCCCTTGGTCTGATGTTCCATTCTTTTAGTCACTTCTGATCCACAACCTGTCACCTGTCCCCCGAGGCTTTACTGAGAATCCCTTTCAGATAGACAAACAAAAAGAATTCTCTCCCTTCTGTTAGTCTACTTGTTTATACAAGCCTTCTCAACACACTGCTTTGATAAGAGAAATGCTGCCTGTAGATTTTTCTCTTCTGATTCCTGGCACTGGGTTTATTTCTATGGCGGAGAAAGAAATACAGCGACTGTTCTTACCTATGGTTCTCACAGATTCCTTGTGATCAGCGCTGAAGAGATTTATTCTGCCATCTTCACCAACGGTGACAATTTCTGGGTTGTTGCACACGACACCAGTACAAGGCGCACTGCTGTAGGAAGGGCTCCCTGGACCAGTGTGGTAGTGAGCTGTTGTCCACTGATGGCTGACCGACAGTGTCTAGGCAGAAGACACGAGGATGCCAAGAACAAAGCGCAGCTCGCAAAAACGAAAACTTTTCTCCCCCAAAAGAATGTTTTTATATTGTGCCTGACACCTTTCTAGAAAAAGAGAGCTTTCTCCTTTCTTGTGCATGACTACAGTCTAATTATGACACAGAATGAGATTCAAAAGGACTATAGTGTCACAATATCCTGAATTTACCACCATGAAGAAATGGTTTTTAGGTATTAAGGAATTTGTGTGTTCAAAATTCTTACAGGCATTAGTCTAAATCTGTGAAATAACCCTCCCCCCCCTATTTTTCTAAGTGATCCATTCAGACAACATATGGGTGTTTATTATGCATACCAACTAACAAAGTGACCTTCATTCATCCCCAAACCTACATAAGCACTTTCTTCCAGGAACTTAAAACTGTGTTACAGCTAATGAGGCTATTTTTAAAAACTGCCCTCCCCAGTGTGCTCTGAAGGTCAGCACTCCCGGGCTTAGCACACAAGAAAGGTGTTGAGAAAATGTCAATCTTAGCACAGTATACCCTCTCTTCTAATTAAAACCTGGGATCTCCACCTACAGAAGCAAGGAGCAGTTCCAGTTCTCCTTCGTGGCATCTGAGCTAGACAGTGTGCTTTCTTCTCGAAAAAGACAGAACCACAGTAAAATCAACTGCCAGTACTATTAAGTTTAAACTATGTTTTATCAGTTTGGGCCACGTCATAGTCAGTGTGCCTACCTATATAGGATAGGCATGGGAGGCACACCCAAGGAGAGAGCAGTGGGACCAGTGGTCCTGGGGAGATCTGGGGGGTGAGGGTGGTAGGGTCAAGGGGAGGTGAGCAAGCAGCGCCATGGACAGGGGAACAACCGGGGTGTTGGAGTCAATAACGAGGAGATCTGGGTGTGTGGGTGGGGAGTGTTGGAGCAACAGCAAACTAGCTAAGAGGAGGTACCAAGAGGTAGAACTAAGGTGACAGTGGGGTAGGAGGAAGGAAATAAAGGAAGGACATAGGAAGCAAAGCAATGGGTAGAGGTATAAACATAGCGGTGTACATATGTAAATACATTAATCCACAAAATAGAGGTATTGGCCTATGTACATGTATTTATACGGCAATACACTGAGGTAGGGGATAGACTTCAGGCCTCTGCTCATATCCTTCCTTAATACAAGGACATTTTGTTCTAACAAATCGGCAGCCTGAGATGTTCACCCTCCCAACACAATCGCTTAAGACAAAACGGGTGCATAAGCAAATGTGGTAAAGAAGGTGGATGGTGCCCGGCTATTGAAAGATATAGCATCTGGGGTCTTAAAGGCTTGAAGTTACACAAGCTGCCATTCAGCAGTGAAGCAACAAACCCACAAGAAGCACACTTCCGGTGCGATCATGAGGAATCATAGGGACCGGGTAACAGGCATCAGCAGACACACAACAAAAACATATTTTTGAGAATGGGGGTGGGGTGGAACAGAGATCAAAAGCCCATCTGTAGACAATGGAACAATCTCCCCACAGAGGGGCCACAGGGAAAGGATGACTCAAGGCTTCATCACCCCCCACTACCATGATCCCACTGCTGCTTCTCAATTCAGACTAGGCCGGAACCTGTACACAGACATAGATAAGAGATGGAAGCTCACAACACACAAATTCCAGGAACAGGAGTGGGAATAGTGATTCCAGAAGGGTTATCCCTCTCCAGGAGGAAGAGCAGAAAACATGGAAGAAGGGAGACAGTGGTTGGTGTGAGATAGGAAAATAATAACAATGTTCAATCTATCAAGAGATTATGGGGAGGGGAAGCAAGGCAAAAAAAAAAAAAAAAAGAGGAGCTGATACCAAGGGCTCAATAGAAAGTAAATGTTTAGAAAAGAATGAAGGCAACATATGTACAAATTCGCTTGATGCAAGCAATGTATGGATTGTGACCAGAGTTGTAAGAGTCAAAATAAATAAATAAAGATTAAACTACGACAACTTATTTAACATGATAAGGGCTAGGCAATTTCAATAAATAATATTAATAGTTTTAAAAAGCCAAAGCAAAGCTGTTGCTTTTCAAGTCGGTTCCATTGGCAGCAGTTATTGAGCAGTGTTATAGAGTAGCACTGTCCCACAGGGCTTTCTGGGCGGTGATGTTAACAGAAGGAGATTGCCAGACAGATCTCTTTTCCATGGGCCTCCTGGGCAAGTTTTGAGCTGTTGAGTTAGTAAAGGAATGAAACTGCCTGGGTCACATCGAGACCTACCATGGCTCTAAATTCAATCTGCTACAAGTATAATTACCACACTATGCTCTCTCCCCCTCCATGCTGTGAGACTATACATTTTATTATTTGCATAATTACGAAGCACCAAACCAACCGCCATCGAGTCAATTCTGACTCATGGAGACTTCCCAGGACAGACTGGAACTGTTCCCCAGGTTTTCTAAGCTGCACATCTTCATGTGGGAGGAGGTGGCCTTATCGTCTATCTGTGGAGTGGCTGGTGGGTTGGACCTTGCTGTTAGCAGCCCAACAGGTCCGCCACTGTACCCTCAAGGCTCCTTAATTAGTAAGTACTGTCTCCCTAATGATAAGTCAAATATAGATCCAGTTTACTTTACCTGGTTATTCTGATGGTGAAGGAAAACTGTTACACTTCCTGTGGATGAAGCAGCTACAATTCTCTCCTGGTCCAAAAACTAAGTAGATTTAAAAATATTAGTAGAAAGGAAACCCATCTACTTAGCTCAATCAGAAATAAAAACTACATTTTAAAAGAGCTTATAGATACCAAACAAATAACCTCTGATAATGATTTGAAAAACTATTTACAACAAATAAGGACTTTTCATGGAAAATAAACAGCCAATAACTTTTCCTAAACTTTATTACATGGAAATGATTCAACTTTATACTCCAATAATAAAATTTTACCAAAAAATCATTCCCAGGGTAAAAAGCTTTCTACAGAAAATGCAAGAACTTTGAATCCATACAGACCTGAATTTGAATACTCAATTCTAGTTCCACCATTAGAAATTGAGGCATGCCCACTACAGGTATTGAGATTTGGGCCAAATTAATAACATTCTCTAAGCCTTGGTAAACCATTAAGATAGAACTACAACCCCCTACAGAAATGCTCAGAGTGATCTTACACAGGGTTTCCAAGGCCACAAACCTTTCTGGGAGTAGACAGCCTCATTTTTCTCCTGCGGCGTGGCTGGCGCTTTTGAACCGTCAACCTTTTAGTTAGCAGTCTAAATGACAGCCCAACAGTGCCAACTTTCACTAAACAGCAGGGCTCCTTAATCCCTATATACTTAAACTCACTGGCATCGAGTCAATTCAGATGAATAGGGAACCTACAGGACAGGTAGACCCACATAAGGAATGTAACCTTTTGGGAGTGAAGTACAGCTCAGCTCTCTTGCAGAGTGGCTGGTGGTTTGAAACTGCTGACCATGGGCATAGCAGCCTAACACATAACCACTAGACCGCCTAATTCTCATAGAGGCTGAATTCTAAAAGCAAAACCGTAAGAGTTTTGCACATTGTCATAAAGCACATGCTCAACAGATCTTAAGTCTCAACATTCTCACTGTTAAAACTAACAGAGTACCACTTGACTCACAGGCATGTAATGAGAATTGCATTAATTTACTATGTCAATCTCCTAAATCAGTGCTCAGCACTGTGGTGAGTGGGAATTACTAGGAAATGATAACTAAATTCACATCTCCTTCCTAAATCCCGGGTTTTGCCACTAACTGGCTCTATGACGTTGGGCAAACCATTAAGCTCACAGAAAACTGTATTTCCAGGGAAGCGTAGACACAGTTTCAGGGGCTTTCCTTGTCGTAATATGCTTTGCTCTCATGTTTCAAACGCCAATTGTCAATACCACAACCTTACCTGTAAATCCATTACATCGCCATGGTGTTTGCTTTCGCACAGTAACTGATGGTCTCCATCCATTCCTCCATCGGAGTCCACGTGTCCAAAATCTCCAATTGACCACAGCGAAACATAATTTTTCTGTAAAGCAGAAAGTTTGATCCTGAGACGAAATAAGCATCAACGTCGGAAATGAAAATGCGTACAGGCTTCCGGAAATTCTGCCTGAACATCACCTAGACAAAAGGCATCCTAAGTGTTTAAAACACAGGGAGGTACGAGGCTCTGGCTCTGAGGTATAGGATGGAGAAGCGGCCGCAGAAGGTTCCCGCGCCGCGGCCGGAGGCGCGGCTCCGAGACCAGAGAGAGGAAGGAGGCAAGGGCTTCCCAGCCCCGGGAGCGGGGGTACCTCGTTGTCCCAAGAGCCCGTAGTGAAGGTCTCTGCTGTCTGCAAACTTCCCGAAGGAACTGGTCGCCAGCGGGTTTTGCTGATTTTCTGAGATACAAACTTAGCATAAATTTCCTTCATCTCCAAAACCACAGCAGCCCACAGAGCAAGAAACACCACACGCGCCTCTCAGTCACGCCCCTTCCTCTCAGGACTCCGATTGGCTGAGAAATTTGAAGGGGACGGTGGCTGCGAAGAGCCAATTCTGTTGCGCGGAATGTGTGTTCAAGGCCAGCCTCTCAAAGGAATGGATGCTGGTGCGCCCACCCCCTGGGCAGGAGTAGAAGTGCCCTGACCCTTGTGTTAGACCTTCCCTTAACCTGCGACATCAATATAGAGACATCTAGGCAATTAATTTTTGTAATAATTGTGCAATATGAAACAGATTTATTGCAAAACAATGCAGTTGTACTTCCCTGCAGAAGGAATCTAGGGAAGTGCCACCTGCCCAGGGCACCACTCCAGGGGGTGCACCCACGAGCAGTTTCTATTGGCTACCCAGTTTTCCCCACTCGCTGTGAGAGATCATTGAGCAATTTTGAACTCATTGCCACAGGCGCTATTTACTGCCTCAGCTTCACTAAGTATATAAAAGCTTCTGAAGCCTTGTGCTCTTTTTTTTTTTTTAGATTTTTTTTGGGGGGGGCTCGTAGAATTCTTATCACAATCCATACATCCATCCATTGTGTCAAGCACATATGTACATTTGTTGCCCTCATCATTCTCAAAACATTTGCCTTCCACTTTA